AAAAGGGTTTTTGGTGTGGGTGCGGTGTGAATTGAGCAGTACAAAATGTATGGCTCCCATTGCACCACACACAAATCGCCTGTGATTTACACAGGAATGCGGTGCGGTTCTTGTGCGAATCACATGCGACATACCGCACCGCACATATATGAACCCAGGCTAAAGGAGACCTGTGCAAGATAACTGCCATTGCTGATCTATTGAAAATGGAAATTAACGTTACCTGGCTATCATTGTTCGTACTTCCTGATTAACTGACCTGGAACTTGCAAGCAGTAAAATTAGATGGAAATTAGAACTCTTTATTTGCATATTTGTTTTGAATCAAGGGTAGACTAGTAGGGTTGACAAAGGAGTAGAGGCAGTTCACCTTGCAAAGGTAATGTTCATTTAACCTCCCTGGCGGTATTCCCGAGTGTAGCTCGGGGTAAAATGTCAGTACCAAAAGCGGTAACCCCGAGCTACACTCAGGCTTACCATGCGGCGCTGCATAGGGAGTCCCTGCAACACTTACCTTGTCCTTCGCTCCCGCGATGTGTCCCCTGCAGCGTCCCCGGCTATCTCCTCCGGCTGATGCCGGCATCCGGCTTCTGTGTTCCGGTCCCTGTGACGTCGGGACGTACGGGCGCTGCCGCTGGCGGCGGGAAATTTGAAAATTTAAAAAAAATTTCATTTTTTTCAAAACGATTTTACATAGTAAAACATTGCTGTTTTAACCCATTTCACATACATTTTGTCCCTAGTGCTTTGTCCTGTCCCCTGTCTGCATTTTGACTGTTCTTTCTGCCTGGAAACTTAGAAAAGTCCATGGCATCCAAAAAGTGTCCCTTTAGGTCAAAAGCGGGTTTAGATCAGCTAGAGAACAGCGATAGTAAATCAGAACCACTTGCAGAATTGAGTGATAATGATTCGTGGAGAAATTCGTCATCAGACACTGAAAACAATTTTGCGACTTTGCTCAGCGATGTGCAAACTTGGCGCTCAATTTCAAATTTCAGTGTTTTTGGTTTGATTATATTATTGAATTAAATGTATTATTATATTATTATTTTTTATGATTATTTATTAAATTATAATTTATGATTTTGTGTTTCAAATTTTATCATACCCGGGATGTTTAATAGACTTCGGACAGATTTCAGTGAGTTATTCCTAAAAATTACAGCCTACAATAAAAAAACTACATATTTCCATGCAAAATAATGGTACCGCTTTCAGCACCAAAAATCTGAAATAATCATACCGCTAGGGAGGTTAAAGACCCAGCACCCTCTGATATCTACCTGCACTGTGCTCTCCTGCCATTCCATTGCTCCATCACAGCCTGTGCAAAATACCCAATGTTCTGGGTAGGGGCGACCTTCCAGTTCAGTCCGAACCTCCAGTGAGAGCAGAATGTCATTTATTTGGCACTAAATGTGACAGCTTCCCCTCTAGCTGGTAGGAAACTGGCAGCCATATAATCCCTGTAAGATTACTGACCAAACAGGGTTGTTCCCATATCTGTTCAGTTACACACCTGTTTTTACTTTTAGCAGTAGGGACTGGGAGATGTCAATATCAGTAAGTGTCAGAAACAGATTGTCAGCTTAGCTATGCTGGAAAGTGATAAAGCAATCCTATGATTAGGATTGCTAAGACTAGGTTTGAGCGTTTGAGCTGTAGTGCATTGCGTTTTTGCACTTGCGTTTTTGCCGTGTTTTTTATGCGTTTTGCTTTTTTTTTACGTTTTCTTATTGCTAGGCAGATTTAAAACGCAAATCTCATAAAAAACGCAACAAAATGCAATACATGCTTTTCTGCAGCATTTCCATTGAAGTTTATAGAACCAAAAACGCAACTTTTTGCATTCAAAAAAGTCCCTGACTCTTTCCAAAAAATGCACAGGTGTGAACATGTCCCATAGGAAATCATGTTAAACGGACTGTACTGCATTTCTGAAAAACGCTGCAGAAAATGCTTAGGTGTGAACCTAGGGTAAATCACTTTCTCCTTGCCTTTCAGTGACCACTATTTACTAATAGCAGTAGAGGGTCCCAACATAGGACTAATGTATCCTCTGCCATGGGCTTGGAGTGTCAGTGTTTGTGGTTGGTCTTGAATCAGAGTTCTCAAGAGAATTTGGAGGCCATTTTGGATGTGTTGTAAACAGAATGATCTGCATCACCAAGGGGCCCTGGAGTGAGAAGTGTAGATGCGGACAGGAGCCTGTTTGGTAGAGACAAGCAAGCTCTCTAGATAGGTACAGGAACCTGTTTGGTAGGTTCCTTGGAAGGGATTTGCCCTCACAGGTAGAGATACACAAGAAGCCTAGATGACAGATGCTCTTTGGAAAGTTTGTATGATAGGTGAAAGGCAAAGGAACTAATAGGGTAGAGGTTTTCTTTTTGTACGAATTAAAGACTTTCATCTGAACTTGTGTCTGCTGTCAACTTTATCTACTTTTCAGAGTGGAATAACCTTCAAGGATTACTGTACTTTTCGACTGCTTGGATAAAAACTACTAAAAAGGAACAGTTGTGTTGCATTCTTCCATTTATACTTCCACCACCCAGTTGCTACTTGCTGCTTGGAGCATATGATCTCCTTCCAGGATTCAGTGCTTGCAACTGAACTGCCAATTACAAGGCCTGAACCCTGTCACATGACTAGTAGGAGGACATAATCAACCCCATGTAAGCTCCCACACCATCCAACACAGAACCTACATAGTTTTTGATGCCTCAGAAAAGGAAAAGATGGGTAGTGTGAGGATGATAAATATAGGTGTGGTGGGGGAGCTTTCAAGGCACTTTGTCACTATGCTCTTTGTCACTATGCTCTGAATGGGTAAAAGTGACAGAGAATCTTTAACTTTTCAAATGCAATGTAGCTGTATTCACTTGCATAGAAAATGATTAAAACTAGCCCCATCTAATTCACATTTCTAAGAGAACATTCCCTATTCCTTCAGTAAACCAACCTTTGTGACCTAAAATGTAGTGAAGCTATTGGATCAGCATGGCAGCCAGGAGATGCTTAGCACATGCTTCATTTACATCCCAACTCCAGCCAAAATGTTTTGTTTTGGATATATTTGTAAAGGTTTAGAAACCCTGTCAAAATGTTGTTTCTAACTGTGTCTCCATTGAGATTTACTTTTTTCCAGAAAATCTGGAGGGGGTCACATGAAAAGTTTCAAATTTATGTTTTTTTAGCTGTGTGTGCCCTCCTATTCCAATAGCTCCCCCCTCATTTCTTGTATAGGTGTCACAGGGACCGGAAATGGATAAAACCCCCAGTTGGATCACAGAGTGAAATAAACACCTTACAGAAATGTAAACTCTTCCCCAATCTATTCTAAACAACAAAAAACATTTCGGCTGAAGTTAGGCTTTAAAATACCTTGGCCAATAGACTTATAGACCCAAAAAATGAAAGCTATTCCTAAAAAAGACTACAAGACAAAACAAGAACAAAAATGGGTTGCTGCCCTCATTGGCCAATTAGATTCTTTGTTTCATTTTCCCAGACGACAACATAACCCAAATGGTAATTACAGTCAAAAATCCCCTTTGTTTTGATTTCCTTTTCTTAGTTTCTAGTTTCACATCTATACATTTTTTTGTGTGTTGTACTACAATCCATTTAACATCATTTCCTATTGGTCCCATTTACATCTATACAGTTTCCTGAAGTGTGTTTTTTTGGAAAGGTGCAAGGATTTTTTTACACGTAGGATGGTGCATTTTTGGATCCATAGTTTACAATGGAAGCGCATAAAAAATGCATGAAAAAACATGATGCATTTTTGGTAGAATTTTGTTTTCAACAACCAGTCACTCATACAAAAAAAACCCCAAGAAGCATGAAAATGCATCAAGAGTGCATTTGGAAAAAAAACTGAAAAAATGCATCAAACATCAAACGCACATGGACAGATGTGAAACTAACCTTAAGAGTACTCCCACAGAACATGCAGACGCTCCTAAAAGAAAAGAAGGCTATGGCATGCAAGGAGGGAGGGGGCTGTGCTAAGGAACTGATTCTTCTGAAGTAGTCTAATTTGCTACCAAATTCAGGGGAACTGTGAAAGAAAAAAGATTTATGGAAAGCAAAACCCTACATAATTATATTGTTTTGTATTCCTCCATAAAATACTTGAAGTGTTACTAACCCAGGACTCTGCATTCACTATATCTGGTCTCCCACAGTACACACAACATGGAAATTCAATTAATTTTGTAAATATAAACTGCTAAATACCTTTTCTCATCAGCAATTAGAGCAGACTTCTTTCAGTGTCCAGCCGAGCACAAGTTAAAGCTTGTAGGAGGAATTTTCATTCTGCTGTAGGGGAATGCAGGACCCCTGACCTCTGTCTGGACAGTGCTGATTATGTGCACTCTCCCAAGAAAAAAAAAAACTCTAGCAATACACAACAAACTGAGCATGTGCAGAGTGACTCCACATGGTACACACCTGTCTTGTCAAGAGATAAGAGGGGGACACTGGAAGAAGGGGAGGATCAGAGAAGTCAGGATCAAACAGCCTTTTTACACAATGCAGAGGATTAACCCCTTATATTCAACAGTGCGTATAACAAGCATGCTTTTCTGCACATACAGACAACATATGCTTTATGGCTGGTCCTTTTCTACTCCCACTACATCCCCTCCCCCAAATCTATTTCCAGTTGCTGAAGTTTATAAATCATCCAAATTATTTGTGACCCCTGTTAATTACTAGCAATTGCCTATGCAAACGCCCACTGGACACACAAGGGCAGGTAAGTATTAAACAACTTTTGCTGCATATGACTATAGAGTAGCAGGTGATGGCAGGATAGACTGGAATCTTTATACACAATACAGACACTTTGAGAAAAGCATATCCATTCAATATTTTGCCAGTTAATAGATAACATAACCACCTTCCCTTAACTGTACTTTCCAAGATCATTTATCATTATTCACTGTGTAAAGCCTAATCGTTACTTTTACCATAGCTAATACACAATCAGGGGCGGACTGACCATTTGGAAACTCGGGCACTGCCCAAGGGCCCAGGGTCAGTAGAGGGCCCCATGAGATGCCCCAGGTACCTTTTTCATAGGCTTTTTTGAGTTTGGGCAAGGACACAGGGGCCCCTTGATACCCTATTGCCCGGGGGCCCCATGAGTTGTCAGTCCGCCCCTGTACACAATATAACCACCTTCCCTTAACTGTGCTCTCCAAGATCATTTATCATTACGTAAAGCATAATGGTTACTTTTACCATAAAGTACCATGTTAGATGGGTCAGTAACATGTCATTTACAAGTGTATTTGTGTAGCAGATGCTGCAGTGGTTGCATGAATGGCAACTTGTCTGCTTCGGGCAGAAGAAGGTCTGTGGGACACCTGGATGGAGAGAGAAATTCCAGCCTGCACATTCCAACATGCTTATTTCACCTGTAGCAAACTTCTTGTTAGTGACAGCATACATTCCAGCAGACGGTCATTTATTCACTACATATCACTGACATCTGAAACACCGGGTCAGAGAAGACACAACTGGAACTCATGTATCATGCTTCAAGACCATGAAAATGGCCCTCAAATATAGTCTTACAGCAGCAAATTAGATTTTAAGTTGTGTTTTTTTAAATAACATATGCAGTACAGGCTTGGATTTTTAGGTTAATGTAAAGTAACACAAAATTAACTTTTACATAAAATACTAATGTCCAACGCTGCATGAAGTAAAGTTGGTTGAATGGCAACCACTGCACACTACTCTCATGAAGGCCAAAATGTGAATGTGTTTTGTGATAGTACCTTTGAGAACATTTGCCATATTAGCTGATTAGGACATCACAACATTTCTATCCAAACCTGTTTTTAGCTGTAACTTAAACAATCTACTCAGCTGATACAACGATGCTAAACCTCAAACATGATCAAAGGATAACATAATTGCCTTTATAGAAAAGTGAGCATGATCATTGTTAGTTAGGCAGGTCATAAAAAACATTGCTTTGGATTTGAATAAAGTCGAGAATAATTAATCATTAGCATTTTTAAAGCTTTTGTATAAATTTTCCTGCATGATATAATTGTTGTACCTTAAAAGGAAACTTGTACTAAGAGAACAGGTAGGAAGCAACCACTGATCTCTACTAAAAAGTGACTGGCTTGCATGCTGATGCAATGGTTTTAATACTTTTTGTGTCATTGACCCATAACTTGAACTCAAATGAGCTCTGATGTCTCTCAGACTTCACATGGTGCATGTACTGTATATCCATTATCATTGATTGAAAGTAATGAAGCCAGACCACCAGGCAACAGTAGACAGCAATAAGCAATGGCAGCCTACATAGGTTTCTCACTACAGGCTATTTAGAAGTGTATTGAAACACATTTATTTAAATGCTAAGAATTTTTTCTTTTTGGAGTTAACACTCTTATCAGTCTTTTCTGCCCCCTCCCCAACCGTTCCCCCTTAAGCTGCAAAGGCAGTGGATGCAGGTGTACACATGACACAAAAATGAAACCCCCCGGAAAGAGGGTGCTCTATAGAGGAAGGTGACATGTCTCACATGTACAGAGCGGAAGAGATGCTACAGAGCTGAGAGAGGTGCTGTATAAAAGCCGGACACCAGGGGGAGGATGATCACAGACGTGCAGCTCACCATATTCACCAACATGCTGGGGGTCTCCCTCTTCCTGCTGGTCATCTTGTATCACTACGTGGCTGTCAATAACCCCAAGAAGTAGGAATGAGGGACTGGTGTCCGGACGCTGAATTGGGTCTGATGTTTGGCGGTTCCCGTGTGATCCCAGCCAGTATGAAGTTCACATTCCAGAAGCAGGTCTCCGACTGTACATATCTACTGTGATGGCAATGTCTGGCCATTGTTACCTTGCTTAGATCTCTGTTTTTGATATGTAAATGGGGTAAATAAAGGTATCCCAATGAGAAGGGATATATTCTCTATAAAAGAAAAAATGAAACCCTCCGTTGTGTTTGGTGGGCACTACCACCTGCCAAATGTGTCCATTCAATTGTATGGGTCGGCACTTGCACTGCCCTGTAACTGCATGCAATGCACATGGTTTCAGTGTGGTAGTGCAGACTTTTAGGGGTTAAAACAGCCAGTAAGGAGGCAACATAATGCCAGTCAAACTCCCTCTGAAAAACAATCTACCACAGATCATTTTTAGAAGGCCAGAGCTAGATTTAAATAACCCTTATAGAAAGCTCCTCATTTTTATACCTTCCTAGGAGTCATACTGTTCTCAAATCAAAAGTACTTTTTTTCCAGTTTCTGAAACTGTGCAGCATTTCCATACTAGTTCCCAGCATATAGTGCACACTGTGGGCTATTCATTAAAGCATTTACAACACTTTTCTGATGATATTTACCAATTAGAAAGTCCTGCACCCAACTCATGAAAGCCTTTGACTGGTTTGTTCACAGTTACAACGCATATGACAGATTCATTTCATCAGTTCATTTTAGCACCACAGTCACACTGTGTCATTGTGAATGGAAAAAATAATAATTACTGCAATTTCATAGATATTGAAAATGGAGATAATTAAGGCAACTCAGATTGACATACAGATACAGGCAAGAGTCATACAGAGAAAGGCCAGAGTTATCAGGGGAGAGTTGTGTGTTAACTTTAGCAATGTGTTTTATATTTGCTGAACTTGGGTAGGGAAAGAAAGAAACAAAATCCCCATCAGGTCCACCTACCTTGTGATTGACAGTGGATGGCAATGGGTAGGAATTATGAACATAATGGTCCTGCTGCATTGTGTGTGATGATGTCACAGTATGACCATTGGCTAGAGTGCCTCAGAGAAGAGCCTTCGAGGGACTGGTAGCATGGGATGGAGAAAGCCTTAGGGGTAAGGAATAAGGTAGGTATTTATCTTATTTATTTACCCCTAGGCCATTTAACCCTTGTGGTGCGGGGGGGGGGGGGGTACCACTGCAAGGTTGTTTTTGTCTGATGCCTAGAGTTTAGCTTTAAAGGGGTTTGCTATTTTTAGCACATTTCTCTATTTTTTAAACAAATGTAAGCTGACCCTGTCACTTATAGGGTATCTAAACTCAAAAATAAAAAATGGATTTCAATGTTTTTTTTTTATCAAACAAATATTATGTTTTTTTTTTTATTCAAACAGATATTGCAAAATGTGATAAAAAATGCAGCGCTAAGAAATACAATATAATGATAGTGAATGAATGAATGAAGTGACAAAGTGGTAGGTTTATGCGCCTATAAGGCGCTAAATATAGTGATTGGAAGTGTTGTCAATTACTGACGAGAGATTCAGTGAATGGATGATTACCACTATGTTATATTTGTGAAATGGTAAATGGTGCTAAAGCAGAAATGGCAATAATAATAATAATAATAATAGCATTAGGTTATTAGTCCATAGAAGAAATTTATCAGATGATGGTGCTTGTGACTTCCGTGATAGGGAATAAATGTGCTTGCACTCACCAGAAGCGCAATTATATTGCGCATGTATAGTAATTATCCAGACTGGTACAAGTGGTCATCAGGGCACTGGTGGGGATAGGGGGCACCAATGGCACACTCTGCACACAGGGAAGGCACTTCAGACCTCACAGCTCGGACCCTCTCAGCATGCGGGGGGCAGCTCCTCCTATGCACTCTCACCCGGACAGGGGCGGACTGACCATTTGGAGATTCGGGCACTGCCCGAGGGCCAGGGGTCAGTAGGGGGCCCCAAGAGATGCCCCTGGTACCTTTTTCATAGGCTTTTTTGAGCTTAGGCAAGGACATAGGGGCCTCATGATCCCCTATTGCCCAGGGGGCCCCATGAGTTGTCAGTCTGCCCCTGCACCCGGATTAGCCAGAGTGACAAACATCCACCTTAGATGGCTCAAAAAAGCCACCAGACAAAAGTGCTTGGATAGTGTAGTATTTTAATAAGCAATATGCAGCTTAACTACAAAAGCAGCTCAGTAAAAATAGGTCAGATTCTAACAAACAGCTCAGTGATCTAACTTGTCAGATTCCAAAAATGGCTCAGTGATCTAATTTGTCAGCATAGTATCAAAATAGACCAGATGCCCGCTGTAGTATTGTAAAATCAGTTCAATGGCATAAGTATCAGCCAATAGCAAGGCATATATGTCAGCAGCATATGCACAGCAAGAAGATCAAATTCTAAAGATGGCTGCTGGCCTGGACATGCGGCCTTGGAGGAATGATGTCCTCCCTGATGCGTTTTCAAAGGGATGGCCTGCCACCGACGTCTGTCCCTTTATATAGCCCCGTGCGCATGTGCGATACGGGCTCCATTTTAGAGAAGACTGGCGGTTCAGCCGCATTGATGCAGGGACCTAGGTCTATAAAGGCTGGTTTTGCCAATTTAAGAAAAAGAAAAATAGTGAAATAATTACTGATTGATACCACAACATGGGCCAGATCAAATAGAAGGAATAAAATTAAATAAATAGAAGAAAAACTCGAAAATTGCTACAGATCGTGGCCGCCATTTTGTTGTAGACCGTGTAAGATACTGCTGAATTACAGCTTCCATTTGCTAGTAGAGCTGTGGGACTACAAGTACCCAAAAGCCAATGAGTATAATTAATAAAATAGATGGGGATTAAACCTTTTTTAAGAAAAATATACATTAATATAAATAAAATGATAAAAGTGTTTAAAAGAAGTCACAAAATTATAAATCAAATAAAATAGGTCAAAAGAATCAATATGTTTAAAACGCAAAACCATTATATATATTATTATATATATATAACGTTGCTGAAAATAAAACAAAAAAATCCAAAAATATAAAAAACATTTTATTAAAAATGTGATTGAAAATATGATTAAAAAATATATACCGTATTTTTCGGACCATAAGACGCACCTGACCATAAGACGCACCTGGTTTTTAGAGGAGAAAAATAGGAAAAAAAATATTCTGAACCAAATAGTGTAATAAAATATTTAATAAAGTATAACAGAATAATATTTGAACCATATAAACTGAACAGCAGTCAACAGTGGCATTAAGAACCATTATCACTGTCATTAACACATAAAGACAAAGGTTTGAGTACTCTAGTCTTCTGAAAACCCCAAGAACTCTTCTTCGCTAGAGTCAGAATTCATGAAGCTCATTTGGTCACAATCACTGACATCGCTTTCTTCGCTGTCTTCGTATAAAATACAGTCTTCACTTCCATCTAAGGCATTGCTAATGCCACATTTTTTTGAACGACTGTACAACAATCTCTTTCTTCACTGAGTCCCATGATCTTTTCACCCATTCGCAAACTTGAGTGATGGTGGGCCTCTTCATTCGTCCAGTGGGTGTCAAATCATGGTTACCATCAGCCATCCACTTGTTCCACTCTTCTCTCATAAAGACCTTAAATGGCTTGTTTATGGAGACATCAAGAGGTTGCAACTGGCTGGTAAGACCTCCGGGAATGACAGCTAGATGGGTCTTTACTTCCTTGAAGCACTTTTTGGTTGGTTCACTAATATGAGCTCTAAATTGGTCAAGCACTAATAGGGCAGGTTTTTTCAGAAGTCCTCCAGAACGTTTGGACCACACCTTTTCAACCCATATTTTCATGCCATTGTCATTCATCCATCCTTTTTCATGGACGTGTACCACAACACCTCTTGGAATGGCATCTTTTGGAAATGTTTTCCTTTTAAAAATCAGCATGGGTGGCAATTTGGTGCCATCGGCACAGCAGGACAACACAGCTGTATAATGCGTCTTCTCCTGCCCTGAAGTTTTCACTGTGATGGTTTTGGCACCCTTCAGGTTGACAGTCCTATTAGAAGGCACATCAAATGTTAGCGGAACTTCATCCATGTTCCCAATCTGGCCAATTTCAAAGCTGTTTTTCTTTCTGGCTTTGATAACAAAATTGTGAAAGGACAGAATTTTAGCCTCATATTCTTTGGGCATTTTTTGGGCAATTCTGGTTTTGGTACGCATAGCAAGACCACATCTTCTCATGAATCTGTAGCACCATGATGGTGATCCTGTAAAGTCTTGAATGCCCCTCTCTTTAGCAATGCGTTTCGCTTCAAAAATGATCATTTTTGTTGAGACGGAAAAGCCATTATTGCGATGAAGCATGATCCATTCTTTCACGTCCACCTCCAACTCTGGCCACTTTGCAGCATGCCCACGGAAAGTGTGCTTGCTTTTGTCTTCTTTTTGCAGCCGATCCTCCTGTTTCCTCCAATCTCTAATCAGTTTTTCAGTTGGAGGCGGCCCAAAATGCCTCTCCGCTGCTCTGTTTCCATGCTCTTTAGCATATTTGATAACCTCCAGTTTGTATGGAATTTTATAGGCTATTCTTTTCTGCTTCAGCATCTTTGTAGAATGAGGTACAGTAGTACGGTACAATATTTTTTCTGCAACAAAATGAAGGAACTTTCAGTATACCATAATTTCTTCAATGATTACAGTACTATTGAGCACTAACCATTTGCGTTTTCACTGAGCGCTGACCATTTGCTTTGTTTATGGTACCATATATGGGAGTATGGTTTATGGTACCGTATATGGGAGTATGGTTTATGGTACCGTATATGGGAGTATGGTTTATGGTACCGTATATGGGAGTATGGTTTATGGTACCGTATATGGGAGTATGGTTTATGGTACCGTAGTATGGGAGTATGGTTTATGGTACCGTATATGGGAGTATGGTTTATGGTACCGTATATGGGAGTATGGTTTATGGTACCGTATATCTGAAGTACCGTATATGGTATGGTACTTCAGATCACAAAAGTGACAATTGAAAGGAAAAGAGGGACAACTGAAAGAAAAAGAGTGACAATTGAAAGAAAAAGAGTGACAATTGAAAGAAAAAGAGTGACAATTAAAAGAAAAAGAGTGACAATTGAAAGAAAAAGAGTGACAATTAAAAGAAAAAGAGTGACAATTAAAAGAAAAAGAGTGACAATTGAAAGGAAAAAAGGGACAGAGGGAAAACAGTTTTTTTTATTGGGAACAGTTTATTGGGAAAATGTAGTGTAGTGTAGTGTAGTGTAGTGACATTTTACCTCAGAAGCCGATGACTGGAGTGAGGGGCATGCGCACTGCTGTGTACTGTAACACCGCCTACTACATGCTATCCTCCAATAGCATACGGCGGTGACACAGCAGCAGCATCGCGCCGCCTGCACAGATCGGCTTCCCGAGGACAAGGTAAGGTGAGAGGGGCATGCGCACTGCTGTGTACTGTAACACCGCCTACTACATGCTATCCTCCAATAGCATACGGCGGTGACACAGCAGCAGCATCGCGCCTCCTTCACAGATCGGCTTCCCGAGGACAAGGTAAGGTGAGGGGGGATCCGCTGCCGCTCTGCCTGAGAAGCCTGGACACGGGGCAGGGGAGGGATGATGCAGTCGCCTGAGAAGCCTGGACACAGAAGGTCCCGGGGGACCCGCTGCCGCTCTGCAACTTCTTCTATTCGGACCATAAGACGCAGGTACTTTTCTTCCCACTTTTTGGTGAAGAAAAAGTGCGTCTTATGGTCCGAAAAATACGGTATATAATAAAAAAAATCTTAAAAAATGTATAATAAAACAAGGGAGGCATTCTTAAGATGTGAGGATTTTTAAAATCCTCACATCTTAAGAATGCCTCCCTTTTTAATCCTTCCTCACATTCGCATATCAATATTTTTAAAAATATGATGACTAAGGATCTGGATGCTCTTAAAATTAAAAATTGGCATAAGCAACACAACTTAAATGAAGGTATTAAAACTTTGCTTGAAAATAAAGATTTGGTAATACGTCCCGCTGACAAAGGGGGAGGAGTTGTCGTACTGGACAAAAAAACATATATGAAACAGGTGCAAGATATTCTGGACAATGAAAACACAAACAATTGTCAAAAAACCCATTATTGCCTTATAAAAAGGATCTGAAGAGTTTGATCAAGAGAGGATATGATAATGGAAATATTAATAATAAGGAAAGGGATTTCCTCTGTCCAGCAGCCCCTAAACTTCCAGTTTTGTATTGTTTACCCAACATTCACAAAGATCCTGTACACCCCCCGGTAGACCAGTTGTCAGCGGAATTGGCTCTCTTTGTTCACGTAAAGGTGACTATATAGATTTCTTTCTCCAGCCTCTTGTTATCTCCACTCCAGCCTACTTGAAAGATACCAAGCCAGTATTAACAGACCTGAAGGATGCCACTACTGATACATCTACTTTTTTAGTAACAGCAGATGTTGCGTCTTTGTACAGTAACATTAAGCATAATGATAGTATGATAGCTTTTAAATTTTATCTAGATAAGGCGGATGAGATTCCTCAACGACAAAAATCATTTATTTTAGAATTAGTGAACTTTGCTATGACCCACAACTATTTTTGGTTCAATAATATCTATTACCTGCAAACCACAGGAGTTGCTATGGGTGCAAAATTCGCACCCAGTCTGGCCAACCTATTTATGTCTTTCTGGGAGGAGGACATCATTTACTCCAGAGATTAGCCAGAACTGACTTTTTATAGGAGGTATATAGATGATATTTTTTTACTCTGGAATGGTAGTGAATTTACTTTACAAAATTTTTTAACACCCTGAATTTTAATAATTTTAATATTAATACATATCAATACAGCTGCACGGAAAGTAATTTTTCAGACTTAACCCTCATTAATGAAGATTCTAAGATTATTACAAAAACGTTTTTCAAAGCAACTGATCACAACAGCTACATTCCTATGGATAGCTGTCACCATCCGACATGGCTTAAAAATATCCCTAAAGGACAATGCCGTAGAATTAGAAGAAATTGTGACAATT